CTCCATCAGTAAACTAGGGGGCGCGGTTTTCAATTTAATTATTTGATTATTATTATTTTTTCTGTTTGATTTTTTTTTTAAAGAAAATTAATAATTGAATCAATCATGGACTACCACATGTCGTGGAGCCCGCAAAACAGTGATGAATCCATCTCACTGCAGAGAACTCACACGACACGGTTTCACCAGAAATCAGATTATTATAATACTTTTTTTTGGATTTGTATGAACATGTGTTAAAATCCCCAATAGGAATGCTCTTATAGTTTGCATCACTTCTTCGAAATCTTTGGATTACTTTGGATGACCAACTTTCCTTAATGTGATTTTGACCTAGTCCACTGTCCAAATTGGTCTATAGAATATATTTTTTGGTCATCAACATTGGTCTATAGATACTAGCCTAAAATGTGTATCACCCGATTTCATTCTCAATTTGAATAGATAAAATTTATCTATATATATATATTTTATCTATCATGATTTCATTCTCAATATATATATATATATATATCATTATAATATTATTTGATAAGCTAGTTTTATATATGTCGTGTTCACATTAATTTTAACTACCAATTGATTACAATAACATCTTTAATAAATAAAAATATTATATCTGTATATAATTATTACACATTTGTTTTCCTTTTTGATATATTACCAGTTAGATTACTTAATTTAGTTTTACTTTTCTTATTAGTTCCAAATCACAAATATAAAAAGGAAACTTTATTAAAGTTTAAAAAATGTATATATATTGTATATGAAAATTATCGTAAAAAGAAATTAAAAATAAGCTTTGTATTTCCAAAAAAATAAATATTTTTCATTTTAAACTGAAATAAACATAATTTACAAAACTAATCCGATTGCATTCTAGCCTATTAAAAATTCTCGAACATAGTGTCTAGCCTAGTCCTGGGAAAAAAAAAACCGGAACCGAACCGAAATACACGAAACTAAAATCAGACCAAAATTTTTAAATATCCGAATGGTTCCTATATTTCTATACCCAAAAAACTGAACCGGAACCGAAGCGAGAACCGAACGGGTACCCGAATATCCGAAAAAACAAGTTAATTTTTTTTAATATAAGATAAAATGACATCAAACCCACTTGAACTCATGTTGAATACAAAGAGTAAGTATATTTTTACCACCAGACCACAATATGTTTTATCTATTCTCTTATATTATAAATATATATAGTATTTCAAAATTAAAATACGATAAATATTTATAAGATTAACATTTTATTGATTCGAACTCTTGTTGGATTGAAGAATATGTAAGCGTGTAAATACTAGACCATTTAAATTAACATATTAACTAATATATTCTGTATATATATTTGATTTATATATTAAACGGGTACCCGGAACCGAACCGAAATCGAACTGGAACCGAACTGAAACCGAACCGAAATTTCATAAGTATCTATTGGGTATAACAATGATTTTTCTGATATATCCGGAACTGAATGGTTCCCATCCGGAACCGAACTAAATATCCGAATGCCCAAACTTAGTCTAGCCTATTAAAATTCTCAAGGCATATCTCCGTAAATAAGAATAAAAGAGTCAAAGACTAATCAAAATCAGTTTGACTAATTCCCACCGAAAAAATCAACGAGGACCAAATAAACATAGAGCATGATAGGTCTGTGCAAAAAAGTCGTAACCGAATAACCGAACCGGAAGCAAATCGAAATATCCAAAATTGGAACCGAACTAAAACCCTTAAATATCCGAACGGTTCTTATATTTATATATCCAAAATAATCAAATCAAACCAAACCGGAACCAAATCGAGAACCGAACGGCTATCCGAATATATAATAATATTAGTTTTATATACATATAAAATAATTAAATATATGATTTTAATTTAAAATCTATTAGAAATATCCAAAAATAGTTGAAGATAACTAAATAATTATAAAGTATCTGAACTACCTAATATATGGACAATTTTATCCAAATATCCAAAGTAGTCCAATATATCTGAAATTTGTATCTAAATCATTCTAATTATTTGATATTTTATCATAAATAACTGATAATTTATCCAAACTACTCGAACCCGAACCAGAACTAAATGAGAACCGAATTTTCTAGATATTTTATGATTCCTAATTTTACTATTTAAACCGAACCGAACCCAAAACTATCCGAACCGAACCAAAAATATGTCAAGTAGTAAATGGACCCTCTAACTCCCTACCCGAAGTACCCGAAACCTGAAATACTCGTACCAAATTGATATCTGAAACGCCAAGACCTAGAGCATGAGATGATTGAATAGCAGATCAAGGGTCTGATTAGTATTTGGGATATTGAGGTTTTGTGGTTGTGTAAAGCCATGAAAGTCAAAAAAATTGCTAATCAATTTTTTTGGGCTTTGGAAGTCTGTAAAGCCTTAAGAACCACTTTTAGAAAAAAAACTGTTTTTCTTCACTTTTTCCAACAGCCACTTTTTAAGGCTTTATAACTTCTCTTCTTCAATTTTTTTTTAAAAAAAGTGGTTGATTATTATTTTTGTGTTTTGTTCATTTTTTGACCAACAGAAAAATAATAAGTATAATAATTAATAAATTCATTATTATTAAGTAGTTAGGTTTTAAACATCAAGAAAATCATAGCCTACTATAATTAGACATTAGTTTATTAAATGTAGGAATTATTATAAAGGTAACTTTTAAAAAGAAAAAAAAAGAAAAAAACTAAATTAAATTAAATACTATTTTAAGAAGATTTTTTCACTATAAATACAAGAAGAAAACTCGTTTCATCAAACACACAAAACCAACATGTACAATAATTTCATTTGTTTTTTCTTATCAACAATCGATCAGTATATATAAATTTCTCAGAGTTGCATTAAATTAATTTAAAGGTTTTGTTTTTACAGAAATGTCATCATCTTCTTCTCGAAATATTTGTATTTACTATTTTGTTTTATTTAATAGATTTTAATCTTATTTAAAATAATAAAATCAAATTGTTGGTTAGAATCAATCAAAATTTGTTACTAAATTTTGATTGATAAATAAAAATTAGATAAAAATAAATAATATTGTAGAATAGATGAAAAATATATATTTAAAAGTGTCACAGTTTCAAAAAAATTTGATGCAAATCAAACTTTTAACAAGTTGGTAAAGACTTTCGTTTTAGGCTTTGATTTTAGGCTTTGAATACCAATCAGGTTTTTAACTTTCGTAACAGATACAGTTTTTAAAACAAAATTCTCTACAACCATATCAAATCAAAAGTTTAATAAGTTGGTAAAGACTTTCGTTTTAAGCTTTGATTTTAGGCTTTGAATACCAATCAAGTTTTTAACTTTCGTAACAGTTACAGTTTTTAAAACAAAATTCTCTACAACCATATTTCTAAAGTCAAAACCTAAAACGAAAGTCTTTACCAATCAGACCCCAAATAATATTTAGTTATTGAGGTGGAAGTAATCACCTAGCAGATTCCTCGTCTCTCTCCCGAGACAGTTATAAGGCGATTTAAAGGCAATTGTTCGTAACCACTATTCTTCTGCAGTTTGATAGAGTAAAACCGTATGATTATGTAACCAAGAAATTGATGTTCATAAAACAACTATTCTCTCTCAGGAATCGAAGATATCGCTGAAGAATCAACTTTCTAATTCAATGAGATACACAAAGTACAGAATTTAAGAGACGAAGATTCTTTACAACAATTTTTCTGAATAAATGTAAAACGTGATCGGAAACAGAGTTATAAGAACAATCGATTCCTTCTTAAACATGAGTTTATGGGCATAATGCACATCCACATAATAATTCATAACAATATATATATGTATAATCTTTTTATATTTAGGTTAGATAAATATCTTCTCAGTTAAGTGATTTTTAGCACCACATGTAATAATTTGGGGAGGGGTTAAAACTCAAAATATATCTATCTCTTTCAGATAAAATTAGGCCTGGACATCCGGGTCCTCGGGTCGGGTCCTTGGATCGGGTTCGGGTCAGGTCCGGGTCATTCGGGTCCTGAAAATCTGGACCTATATAGATACCTATAATTTTTCAGATCGGTTCCGAGTCGGGTCTTGTCGGGTTCGGATCGGTTCGGATCTATAATTTCAATACCCGTAAAATATCCATAATTTTTGGGTATATTTTAGATTCATATCGGTTCGGGTATTTAGGACCCGAATACCCAAAGTAGACCCAAAAATCCAAAAATTACCTGAAGAACTGCCGAAATATCCAAAAATTATCAAAAATCAGACCCGAAAACCCAAAAATATACGAAATATTACCCAAATACCCGAATTATATTATTTAAAAATCTAAAATTTTACCCGAAACCTAAAATTATACCCAAAAACCCGAACCCGGAAATTTTAAAAATACCCGAAATACCAAAAATATACCCAAAGACCTAAATATATCTTATATATGCAATAATTTACGGGTACTACGGGTACCCGAACGGGTCTCGGGTAAGACCTGGATCCAATCCGAGACCCGCGGGTCCGAATAAAAAAGACCCAACAAGTACTTTAGCATGGATCTGGACCCGGATCCGAACCTATATTTTCGGGTCGGTTCCAGTTCGGGTCTTCAGGTCCGGATAAAATAGCCAGGCCTAGATGAAATATTTCTTGACGATTGTCTTTTTCAAGTGTTGTTTGGATTTTCACTGCAACGTACTAAACAAAATTTCAGTTTTTACGTAATATAAAAAGATAACCGTATTTTGTATTAGTAAGAGGTATAGTAGGGAATTTTAATATACTTTCTTAGTATGTATAGAAAATTTTCAAAATACATAGGATCGAATGATAATTCATTGTTACATTTATTATTATGGAGCAACAAAATGAACATTACCGTGCTTAAAGGCAACCTTGATTGCAATATAGATCAGGCCACCTTTAAAAAAAAACAATAATCTAGACCAAACAACATAATGTATAATCATGCTAATTTATCATCTAACCAGATACGCTAGTCACACCACCGGATAAGAACCATACTGAGCTACGCCACACATGCCTTGAGGCCACTCCACATCTCTACGGAGTCTAATGTAACCATTCTCTCCCCAAGTTCCACCCCAAGAGTTCTTAGCCAGCCAATACTTTATCCCTTCCGGGCTCGTCCCGTACCCAACTAACGTCAGTGCATGTGACACGGTGGTACCACAGTCGGGATCACTATATACTCCGCTTGAGTAATGAATGAAACTGTCAGCCGTCGCGTCAATGCTCACCGAGACGGGCTGAATCGATACAGCCTCAAGCAATGCACGCTCGTTGTTACGTGGAACGTATTGAAACCCTCTGATCTGCATGGCGGGTAAGGCCACGTACTGACAACTCCCGTCTCTCTCTTGGTAAGGGTATGCATATTCTGAAGAAATACCTCCGTTTTGTGCTATGTAGTTGAAAGCTTCTTCCATTGTTCCACCCCTGCAACCTTTGTTAGGCGCTCCGTCACAATCTATAAGTTGCTGTTCGGACAGTGATATGAGGATTCCTCGGGCAATCTTCGTCAGACCTTCCACAGCTGCAACCGCGGAGAACGCCCAACAACTAGCTGCGTATATATTGATTTTACTTCATTGTTAGAACCTATGATTATAACCCTGACTTGGGTATTAAGTTTTATGTGGAGTTTAATAATGACATTAAATTACTAGTCCAGCCATTTCCTACATTGTTTTCGAATATGTAGAGACTGTTTATAATATAGAGTACAACAAACTTACAACATTGTCCTTGCACTTTGACAGGTGTTACAGCTCCTTCCATTCTCCAGTCTTTACTGTCGCCGACGTTACTATTGACGTTCCATTTCCAAGATGACACCGTTTCATCAACCATTATAGATGGTAAAGTTACATTAATCCCCCTTATGAGACCGGTGTGGGTCGCTCGGAACTCCTCGTTAGTCCGATCCGTGAACTCGTTGACACCAAGTTTGTAGCTTTGATTCGCCTTAGTATTGAAGTTCTCAATGAACTCCAAGTTTTTCTTGAACACTTCCAGTCTCGTCTGTTTCTCAGATTCATTGCTATAAACTCGAGAGAACTGAATCATCCATTTTTGGAAGTAATCAGCAATGGATGGCTCCTGAAAAGTGACACGGGATGTGGCTTGAGAGATCCTAAGATCCATAGAAAGAATGGTTAGAACCACCAAAACATATGACACTCCCAAGACCATGTTTGATTGGTGTGGTGAAGAAGTTAAATATATGGGGAGAAATGATATATTGTGTGACCGATGAGAGTTGTTATAATGGAAGTATTCAAAATGGCTTATATTGTGGTGATGTTATAGTTTGCTTTACTTCTTTATATATCTTTTACGGAATTACTTTGCCCTCGGTTTTAGCAAGCCTTCCGTTATTATGTGTTCAGATATCAATCCCGTTTTTTTATATGATTAACATTATTAGTATTTACTTTGAAATATCATGTATTTATTTTGCCATCTCACAGAATTTTCTTATTTATGAAGTAGTTTAATTACTTATCTTGCATATATAGTTTTGTGCGTATTTCAGAATCAAGAAATAGTAGAGAAATTAAATGATATATCTTTTTGAGTTCTTAATTAGCATGTTATAATGCATTGATATCTTGAGTAGCCGATTCATATATAATCACGATTTTTATTTTCGAATATATAATAATAATACATAAAATCTAGTAATGATATATCGTATCATATTAGCTTGTATCTCTATGTTCATGACTCAAACAATCAATTAGCTAAAGATTTGTAATGTAAATATTCCATAATCGTTTGTATTTATGACAATGGATGCATTCTTTACTATACAGAAAATCTTTTCCGAACCCCTTTAGAAAAGAAAAAAACAGCCTTTAGAAAGAAAAAAAGGCCGAAGCCCAAAAATTTGTAACATTCGTAATCACTAACTTACTAGGTGATTTTCCCGTGCTCATGCACGGATATAAATATTTTTAAATTAAATATATAATAATAATTAATTATTATTTACTTTTAATTTTAAATTAATTTATAATTTGTATACATCATTTATATTAATTGGATTGCATCTTTGAATTCAAGTGTAATATTTTTAAAATATATTAATTTTTAATTAGTTACTTATTTGCATATGGAGGGTGTTGTCTTAGATATGTAAATATATTTTAGGAAAATTATGTGTAACTTAAGATATATTGTGCTTAGAATGAACTAAAAATTAACTAAAGTGTCTGATTCCAAAATATGTAAATTAATATAACGAAAATATTCTAAAGTCTCATGGATATATATAAATTTTACAAAGAACTAAAATTGTAAGAGTTGATTAGTATTTATTTTTATTTGTTAATATGTTTTGAGTTATCATATGATCAATAAAATGTTACATGCATTAATAAATTCTAAATAACTTTATACTTTAGATTTATTGAATGTAAACTGAAATTTATTTTAAATAATCTTAAATTGAGAATTCAGATTTGCTTTGATATTTTGATTATAGTTATATTTAGTTTCACAAACATAAACCATAAAATTTAAAACAATTAATATTAATAAAATAAATAATTTTAATAATGATAAAATATCATATATCTAGCTCATTAGAACAATTATTTTGACCAAACGATGTTTATTGTTAAATTTATTTTTAGTTTTTAATATCTCTTAAAAATAAGCACTACACAAAATTGTGATTGTATTTGAAAATAATATTATATAAGTAAAATATAAGTTCTAGATAATTTTCTGTAATTNGATAAAATATCATATATCTAGCTCATTAGAACAATTATTTTGACCAAACGATGTTTATTGTTAAATTTATTTTTAGTTTTTAATATCTCTTAAAAATAAGCACTACACAAAATTGTGATTGTATTTGAAAATAATATTATATAAGTAAAATATAAGTTCTAGATAATTTTCTGTAATTGAAAGATATTATAGTCAACTAAATATATGAAAATAAATAAAAATTTAATAATACTAATTATAAACTATTTTATTACTCTAAAAGTATATTTTATGTTATTTAAAAATATTTTTAAATGTATTATTACTATTTTGTGAACTTTCTTTTTTTATGCAATTATATTATATATACATATTTTTATGTTATTTAAAAATATTTTTAAATGTATTATTACTATTTTGTCAACTTTCCTTTTTTCTGAAATCATATTATATATACATATATTTTCGTTTTAAATTTATTTTTATGACTTTATAAAAAAAATGCCTTTTTATTACATATCTTTTTGGAAATTTTTGAAAAGGAAAAAGTAAAAATAAAAGAATTAATAATACTATTTTCAAATATTTTTAATTCATTAAGGGTATCAATGTAATCAACCATTGTGAGAATGAACGTGAGAGCGACACATAGGAAAGTGACTTCTCAAATAATATTATAGAGATTAGTTGTAGATGAACCAACCCTTATGATAAATTTCGATGGTACCATTTTAGCAACAAGCTCGATGAGTTTACTTTTCTCCGTCTTACAAGTAACCACGTACGTGGGTTTATTTTTGAGTCTCGTTAATAACTATTTCTTCTCGAACTTTTTTTGTTGAGAAAATTTCTTCTCGAACTTTTTTTGTTTAATTAGTAAAGCATTACCTTTATCCAGGAAATATAATACAAACTAAATTATACAGTGAAGATTTTATACATACCATGTAGGTGATGCATTTTTTGTTGCTAAACATATAGGCCAAGCATTGCTATGCAGATTTAGACTACACCTAAACAATTGATAAGCCAGACTATATGATAATAATACATTTTTTCGTTATTATAATGTTTTAGTATAGTTATCACACTGTAATACCAAGTCATCTGCCACTTAGTTACGCAACCGGATAAAAAGCATACTGAGCCACACCACACATACCCTGAGGCCATTCTACATCTCTACGAATCCTGATGTAACCATTCTCTCCCCAACTCTCACCCCACGAATTTTTAGCCAGCCAATACTTTATCCCTTCAGGGCTTGTACCGTACCCAACGAACGTGACTGCATGATTCACACTGGTCCCACAGTACGGCTCATCGTACACTCCCCCTGAGTAATGCATGAAACCGGGTCCATCTGCGTCAATGGAAACCGAGACAGGCTGTCTGGAAACCGCCTCGAGCAAGGCACGCTCGTTGTTGCTTGGAACGGTCTGGAACCCTCTGATTGATGCAGCAGGTCTACCATTGTAACGGCACTTCCCCTCTGTCATTTGGAAAGGGTATGCTTGCTCTGAAGCAATGCCACGGTTTTTTATTATGTAGCTGAAAGCATCTGACATTATCCCGCCACCACAACCATTATTATGCTCTCTGTCGCAATCTAGAAGCTGTTGTTCCGACAATGATACGAGGTTGCCTCGGGAAATTTTTGTGACACCTTCCACCGCTGCGACTGCTGAGAACGCCCAACAACCTCCTGCCCAAATATACATCCATATATATTGAGTATAGTTTTTTTTTCTCAGTAAGAACGTATACCTAGTTAGGTAACCTAACTTGGGGTTTAAGTTTTTTTACAATGGCATTATGAAATCATTGAATTCAATTACTAATCCAGCGGTTTACTACAATTTGTTAAGCGTACTGAATTTCAAATCTTGGATATCATACATGTAGAGATCATTGTTTTGAATGTATATAATTTTGAAAAGCTTACCGCATTGGCCTTGGTATCTAACAGGTGTTACAGCTCCTTCAGATCTCCAATCTTTGGTCTCACGGGCCACATCACTAACAGTCCAATTCCAAGACGGTATCATTTCATCGAAAAATTCAGATGGTGAAATTTTGTTGATGCCCTTGAGACCGGTGTGTGTGGCAATGAACTCCTCTTCAGTCCAGTCCGCAAACTCATTGACACCAAGCTTGTAGGATTTATCTCCCTTCTTATTAAATTCCTCAATGAATTTCAGGTTTTTCTTGAACACGTCGAATCTCATCTTTTTCTCGAGCTCGTTGGTATAAACTCGAGAGAATCGAGTCATCCATTGTTGATGGTGGTCAGAAATTAAGGGCTTCTGGAAGGTGACACGAGATGTGGCTTGAGAGACGCTTCCCATGGAAATAATGGTTAGAACCACAACGAATACTATCGATGTCATTTTGTTGTTGATGAATATGACAAAATTTAAAATTGATGAAAGAATGAAATTGTAGTTTTTTTCTTGTATGTGAAGTGTTTTTGTTGTGTTGTAGTGAAGAACTAAGGGTGGGGAGAAAGGGTATTTATAAAGGAAAGATTCGAAGTCGGTTATGGTCTAACAGAAAACTGAGAGCAAATTGCAAGTTGACTCTATAATGGTTATGGTGCTGTTTGCATTAACTTGCGCCGTGATCTTTGGAGGAACAACTTTCCCATTTTTATATGTACATATATTACAACTAATGTATATATCTAATACTATTACAGTATCATTTTAAATAAAGAGATAAGGTCTAGCTATATTTACTAGTAACCTTAGGGTTTAGGGTAGATACATTTGCGTTCAAATGCAATCATGGTCCAATCAAATGTATTTTGAAGTTCTCGGTCGTGGTGAGTTTTAAAATATAGATTACTTCGACCCAAAACTCTGATGGCAACATTATTAGCTTTTGGTAAGAACTGACTGAAAGTCAAAAGTATAAGTTCTGACCGAAAACAAAAATCTATTCTATTAAAATAGAGTCATTCTTTTTATCTACTGATACAAGTTGTCATTCAAATTTGGACCCTTTCTAAAATGTTACAAATAATATAAGTCATATAATTGATTGAACCATATTTACTTAAATTAAACCAACACAATTAATGTAAAAAGACGACATTAATGTAAATTACTTTCAAAATACGGCAGATATCTATGTGTATACCGAAAACACATATTTTCTCCTACAAATATGGAATATTCTAAAAGAATATATATCATCAAAATATGGAATATGGAAATCTACTAATTATACTTAAATTAAGCCAGTGGTTGTTTATGGAATATAGTATTGGGCTTAATTTTATTTTTCAAACAAATTATATAGTTTGGTTTTTGGGCTTAGTGTCAAGAAAAAACTCCAAAAAACATTGAATAAACTTTTCACCTTAAAAGATCAAAAAATCAATTATTATTTTCAGACCCAAAAGGTATTTAATTTTTTCAACAAAACAAAATTATCTATTATTAATCATTTATTTAAATCATGTACTTTAAAACATGTTAATATATTTTTATTTTAAATAACAATCACTTTGTTTTGATAAATTTCAATTGTAACATTTAAATAATTTATTGTTTTATTTTTCTTAAATAATTTACTGATTAAAAAAATGTAAAGCAAAACCAAAAAACAAATCTAAAAACTAAAATCCAAAATCAAAAGATGAAAACACATATTATATTTTTTTGCTTTGTTTATCTACAAAATAAATTATTTCAATTTTTTTTTAAAAAAATTGTTTTCATCTTTTCAGTTTTAAATTAGATGTTCGATTATTTGAGATTTGTTTGTTGGTAATATCAATTTAAATTAACTTAGCGGGTTTAAAAATTAAATACCCAAACCAAAAACTGAAAATGAAAAGTAGAAACTTAAAAACCAAAAACCAAAACCTCAAAAACCAAAATCTAAAAATAAAAAGTAAAACTAAAAACTAATGAAAAACAATCATCATCACAAATTTTGGTAAACTGATTTTATATCAAAATATTCTTTAAATTAAGACAAAACCCAATTATATAATTTTTTAATCATAAAAAATTTCCGTGCTTTTAAGCGCGGGTCAAAATCTAGTAATTCTTTTATATTTGGGATCTCATTTGGATTTACCACAGTTTAATGAAAAATAGTGGAAATATGCGACGCTAAATATTTGACAAAAAAAATGTGACGCTAAATACGACGACGAATAAAGGTTAATAAGTTAGTGGTTTATCGCTTAGGTCATGTTTATTACAGGGTTTTTAAGATGAGATTCTTAGACTAATATAAAAACCGTTTCTTAACTATAATTAAGAAAAACTAAGAAATATTTTTTTAAACTCTTATCCAAAAAAATAAAAAGAAATAAAAAATGTCAAATTATAAATTAAAAATGTTATCCTAAAAATCATCAATAAGAGTACGATTATCGGTATAACTTTTTTTAATTTCTTAAAAAACTTTTTGGAAACTAAAAAATAAAAAATGAATTAATTGAGGACCGTTATGTGTCAGTGGGATCTATGAACAGTTAAAAAAACTAACAAAATTCGGTTTTTATTTTGTACTCTTGTCACCGATTCTAAGTAGAAGTGGGCTCCATGCATGTTAAAAACCCATTAAAAACAGGGATAAACATAACCTAAACATACCCTTAAGCTAACCTACCATACCATGTCACTCAACTTAACTTACATGCGGTTGCGTGAATATATAACCTGATATGATATGGGGCCTCTAAAAAACAAAATAAAGAAGAGACGGATAAATTATCTCCAAAATATTTGAAAACTACATAATGGAATTTTTTATATGAATGAATTAGTTAAACTTAAAAATATGCGACTTCAATTTTAAATTTTAATGTGAACGAATTATTATTTTTTCTTTCAGTTATTGGTCAAATTTAATAATTTTGTTTACAATCCATCAAAAATCCAGTTTACCTAGATTTTGAAAATCAAAATATTCAAATCCAAGTGAAACAAAATTTAACTAGTGATCGTAGTAATAAGTTAAACCAAAATTCTAATTTATTTGTCTCATCTCTTACAAAAACCAACAAAGGTCTAATTTATTGGTCAATTTTTATTTGTTTGCCTTGTAATTTAGAGATCGAAACATCCTTGAACCAAAAAGCTACCCCAATGGAGATCGATGGTCCATACTCCATGCCTATATGTAAATATGGAACACAGCCCTTTGTATACTTATATGAATGATCTCTTCAAAATAAAACAGTTAAACTCAATGGCCTATTATCTCAACAAAGTGCATATATTTACTTGATAAGATAAGATGGAAGACTTCTTCACCTTACGTACATCTCTAATGCTTTGTAAGTAAATGTTGGTTATATGGGTTGTAACCCAGAAATTTGTGAATTATATACTTGGATAATAATTGAATCGTGCACGAGGTCATTTTCCTTAAAGAGTATTTTGACCATATTTCAAACCTTTGGGTTACACGAAATCTCGATAAGACAATCAAAGTCTCACTCTTATTCTAGGTTAAGATACAAGATAAACAAAAAGAAGTTTTAGTGTTTATATGTGTTCTTCAAAGATCTTTGATGATCTTTGAACAATGAATCTATTTCTCTCTTACTCTCTTACTAACTATTTGTTTCTGATTTTTTCTATGTCATTTGCCAATACATCTCTTTATATAGAGAATGAAAGGTTGCAACCAATAGTTGCAATGGTTAAAACAAAGAGTTGCAAAGGTTAACGAAGAGTTGCAATGGTTAGTTAAGGAGTTGCAATGGTTAATCATCAAGGGTTGCAATCATAAAGGTAGTTATTATCAAAGGTTGCAATTATCAATGGTTAATCACCAAGGGTTGCAATCATAAAGGTAGTTATTACCAAAGGTTGTCATTATGTTTATTACCAAAGGTTGTAATTGTTCATATAAACAATTGCAATGTTCAAATAAACACTTGCACCCATTCTCATTCACTTAATTATATAACAATCCTCCCCCATTTAAGTGTAATCATAGATTCATTATAAATAATACATATATCAAACTCATCCATAAATGAAAATGTTCGAAGAATTGAATTTTCATATTAGTGTATTACACATTCCAAATATCTGAGAATCAGGATGTCCTACGGATTGAATCCCTCAACCCATTTTGAACACATGAAGATAATACACACACGTGTTTCCACACTACTCTAAATGTTATACTTGACTATTATAAGCCATGTGTCCCTATCCATTCAGGAGTGCATACAAAGCCAAGTCTCAGCTTATTGGAGCGGCATCACTTCACACTCATATAGGTAAATACTTTCAGTCATGCACCTGCAAATGCAGTTTTTCAAAGTATTTATTAAGAATATATTTCAACATAATTCTTCTTGCAGATCCAAGCACATACTTTGGGATTAAATAAAAAAAATGTGCTTCAATCTTTAAGTGTAGGCATTCCACATTGAATTCAGCCTCTAACGTCGTATTAGAGGGAATTGGGTATCCTACCATTAAAGATTTCAAGTGGACTTTAAATCCATCCCTTTCTCAGACTTAATCACTAAGTACCTAGCTAATCCTTTCGTCAAATGATCAGCTAAATTTTGTTGAGACCGAACAAACTCTATTGTTATCACCCCATGAGTGATCAGCTCATGTATTGTGCTATGTCTAACGCCAGGTGTCTAAACTTACCATTATACACTTGGCTATAGGCCTTAGCCAAGGTAGCTTGACTATCACAATGGCTAGAAATTGGTGATACTGGTTTCCGCCACAATGGAATTTCGTACACTAAATTTCTTAGCCACTCTGCCTCTTTACCGGCAGCTGCTAATGCTACGGATTCCGATTCCATAGTCGAACTTGTAATGCAAGTTTGATTCTTAGAAGCTCATGAAATGGCACCTCCCTCAAGCAAAAATACCCAACCACTTGTAGAAGAATGATCTTTTATGTTGGTAATCCAACTTGCATCTGAATACCCTTCTAACACCGAAGGAAATCCGACATATGACAAACCATAATTAATGGTTCCTTTCAAATACTTGAACACCCTTTTTAAGGCTTGCCAATGTTGAGTACTGGGATTACTAGTGTATCTACTTAACCTTCCTACAGCGTAAGCTATATCTGGCATGGTGCTCGTCATGGCATACATTAAGCAACCAATCACTTGTGAATACTTGAGTTGAGATACTGCTTATCCTGTATTAGGAATAAGCCTCACACTCAGATCCATGGGAGTGATTATTGGAGAACAATTCTCACAATTGAACTTCTTAAGAACTTTCTCAATGTAGTGAGATTGTGTTAAAGATAGTCCTTTCTTTTTACGTTTGATTCTAATTCCAAGAATCACATCTGCCTCTCCCATATCTTCCATTTCAAAATTTAATGACAAAAATACTTTTGTAAGCTCTACTTGTCTAAGTTCAATACCAAAGATCAACATGTCATCAACATATAAAAAAATGATTACTCCGTTACCGAATTCATCAAATTT